TTCTCGTTTTCTTCCAGACTTCCCTTCGACATCGTCATACAAGTTGTTGAGGCGGGCCGTCGAGGGTGAGACACCCAACACTTTGGCTTTCGTTTCAATTGAAACCTTTTCAAGCCATTTTTCACTTCTCAACAATTTCATTTGTTGTTGGAGTGTTAGACATTCCATGATTTCTGTTGCATGGGTTTCACAGAAATCTAATAAATCACAGCCACGACCTGATTTGGTACTGTGGCGCAACACGCTCAAATCCAATTTTTTTGAAGCGGGTTTTCGCTGTGGTTTGGACATGATTATTGAGTTCTGAAACCAGCTGTATTTATTAATTTTATTATAATTAATGGTTAATTTTATTAATAATTATAATTTGAAGTGTTTCGAAAAATTGTCTTTATTCTTTCCCAACAATTTGACATCTAATCGCAATATATTTTTATAAAATTTGGGTGATTTACTGTTTTTTTATGTAGCAATTGACTCTTTATTTTCTATTTTTCATGTTATCAAGAAAATAAATTTAAAAAACAATTGTGTGACCATAACTTTGATACTCATGATTGTGTATAGTTTGCTTCTAATAAAAATGTCGTTTGTAATATAGAGGAGTACTCAAATTTAACAATAATATAATTTTTCAATTTCATTTCTTATTTTACTCAAAAAATGAAAGGAAGTGAAAAAAAAGCACTTTCATTTTCTTTTTTTGATAAACAACAATGATTATGTATAATGTCATATCTATAATGTTCAATAAACAGCTCTTAATGTTATAAAATTGACAACTAATTGTCATACTGTCAACTATCGTTTTTATGATTATCCTTGTTTGTGTTCTATTTTTCGAACATGGTGAAAAAAAGCACTTTCATTTTTTCAGAAACTATATTAACTATATTGAACTATACTTGTTTTTCGAATTACAAAAAAACAATTTTCGATTCAAAATTGAAAATGTTATACATTTTATAAAATCAACACACAAAAATGTTGAGATTGAGAAGAAAACAATTCGTTTTAAAAATACACTCCTTTGTTAAAAATAGTTTTATTTGCTCAAAAACATATTTTCAATATTATTTCAATGATGCGAAGAAATTTGTAACTTTTCTTGAAATACAAAAATAAACCGAACCTTTATTCAATCAACAACCATTTTTACTCAACAACCTTATTTACCATGACTATATTTGAAATTATATGTAATAAATATTTTATAATAAATTTAAAATATTCGAAAATTAAAATAAATTAATATTATACTATTGTATTATATATTGAACAATAAGTTGTTTAACATATTTTGGGTTTATTTTTAATATAATTTATTAAATTTTTAGAATTAAAATATTTAAATATAATAAATAACATGAAAAACAAACCTTAATTGTAAATATTTTGCTTTGTTTGATTGTTAATTTATATATGTGTTATGTGTAAATGAGAATTCCAAACGTTAAAGGGCATCAGAGATAACTCAACACAAACACCATTTTGTCTGGTTGCGTTTGTTATATCTCTGAACTGTTATTTCTTAATTTTAAGTTTCTTTAAATTTTTTTCATATAAAACGCACTTTTTAAACAACTTTTTGTCATACTAATGGTTTATATTAATATAATTATAATAATACTTATAGTATAGTTTTTTATCTTGTTATAAATATTTTAATTAATTTTTCTTTGTTATTACAATAAAAAGAATAAACCCAATGCACAGTAAAAAAATCCAATACAAGAGAAAACAATAACAAAAATAAATAACAAAAAAATGTTAGGTTTTAGGTAAAAAAAATTAAAATATGACCAATAAAATTAAAATATTTGTTAAAATCAAAAAGAAC